TATAATATTAATTATATCTATTTATTAAATAATATGTAAAAATTATATATAATTAATATATGTGCAGCCATCTTTAAAAATAAAAGTAAAAAAAGAGTTAGAATTCTCAAAAAAAAAAAAGTTGGAATTCCTAAAAAAAAAGCATCAAGTTTCTTGGAGAAGCTTTCTCATTTTTTATTTATTATATAAGCAAAATAAAGTTAATGGAAATATAACGGAAAAAGTGACGGAGGTGACGGAGGTGATAGACTTACGACGGAAGTTACAAATAAGAGCTATTTTTTCTCATTCTTATAGGTTAAGAGCTAAAACCGTTATATTATAAGGTGAGGGGCTAAAACCGTCTACCTTATCAAGGTAAGGGACTATTTTTAGGCTGTTGCCGGCATTGGGGTGGGAGCAATTGCCTCCTGCACTCTCCAACCAACGCTTGCTTATATATCAGGCCACGTCACATTACTTTTAAAGAGTAGGTTAAATACCCAATTTGATCTCTTAACTTTCATTTTTAAACTAAATTTATCTTTAAATTTTAAAAAGCATTAAAAATATTCTTAAACTTCAATTTTTGATATAATTTAATCTTTCTGTTAGTTAAGTGGCCATGTCGTAAAATTCTCTATTAAAAAGAAGTGTCACGTGGATTAAAAATGCTGATGTGGTAAAATTTATGCTTGACGTGGCAATGGACCCAAAAAATTGAAAAAAAAAATAATAATAAAGAAAAAGGAAAAGTTCATCATCTTCTCCGACAACGGTCAGCATATATGGCAAGTTTAAACCCAGCTTCTTTTATGTGAGAAAAAGGGTTAAAGCCAACTGTAGTCCTCGTACTTTGTGAAATTGTTCGTTACCATCCCTGTACTAAGGAAATGTCTGATGTCATCCCTCTACTTTCCATACAGTATAAATGTCATCCCTCTACTACACATTTTTTGTTCAATGTCATCCCTAATGGGATGCCATCCACACTTCCGTTAATTTTGACCCGTTAATTACTAACGGTCAAATATCCAACTTATTGTTTATTAATTTTTTTAGACAAGTGGGACCATTTTTTTTAACTCTTTCTTTTATTTCCTTTTCTTTCTTCCTCATGGTCATTTTCCCTAAACCACAGAACGAAGCCCCTGCCTTGCCCTCCATCGTCTTCATCATCTTCACCAATTCACCTGCTCACTAGTTCACCCATCCTGTTGTTCCTCTTCTTCACTATTCTTCACCAACCTTCGGTCTTTCTTTCTTCGCCATCTTCACCATCTTCACTAGAAAACCTATGCCTAAAATTGCCCAAAATCGCCCAAATTTGCTGAACCCAAAATCGCCTGAAATTGTTGAAAATCATCTTGATTTTCTTCACCCAAATCACACACCATCTTCACCAATTCACCCGATTGGTTGCTCCTCGTCTCCACCCTTCTTCTCTATATGTTCTGGCTTTCTTTCTTTCTTCGCCATTTTCACCAAAACCCACAAAATCCTACACCCAAAATTGCCCAAAAATGCCGAACCCAAAATTGCCCAAAGTTGCCAAAAATCATCTTGCTTTTTCTTCCCCCAATCATGGAATCACCCAAACCCAGAATGTGTTGGAGCAATTGCTGTTAATCGTGGAATTTTTCATTTATTTTGTTTTGATTTTGGGTTGTGATAGTTACTGTTAATCATGAATTTTCTTGTTTGATTTTGTGTTGAATTTGGGTTGGTGAGATCTGTTATTAATTGTTGTTGATTTTGGGTTGTGCTGTGGTATTATGGTTGATTTGGATTTTGATATATATAGTTTTTGTTTTATATTGCTGTAGAAGGATGATGAGGCTTGAGCTGAATTTTTGATTACATGTTACGGGATAAGGAGCAAACACTGATGAATGAGCTCCTGTAATTGAATTTGGACGAGCTCTTGTAATTGAAAAGAGAGAATTTGGACCTGCTCCTGTAATTGAAAAGAGAGAATTTAGACCTGCATGGAGAGATTAACCAATTGAAGAATTTGAACTCTGAAATGGGAAAAAAGCTCAGAGATCAAGAGATGGTTGCTTCAATTTGGTTGAATTTGAAAATGTGTTTTCTGCAATATTGCTTATTTGGCAATTAAGTTGTATTAGATAGTTTTCTGCATTTGTAAAAGGTCTTTTTATCTACTTTTGTAATGTACCCTTTATGCTAAACCAAGGCAATCTCTTATGTAATGCAAATGTGAAATGGAATATATGACTCTTTTTTGGTCATGTTAATTGCCAAATTATGTCTATCTTTTGAGCATTTTCAGCTATATAAATGCAAGATTTGCTTGTACAGGACAAAATAGAAAAACAGAACTTAACCAAAAAAAACAAAAGTGCAGCAGATTGGTCTCTGTAAACTTTGCTCTATTGCTTGCTTATACAAGACATGACTTAAAAAAATAGAGCAACAAAAACAAAAACAAGGCAGCACATTATAGGAATTTATATGCTCTAATTGTCCCTATCTCAAAAACAGAGCAACAAAAACAATAAGTTAGATCTTTGGCCATTAGTAATTAACGGTTAAAATTAACGGAAGTATGGATGGCATCCCATTAGGGATGACATTGAACAAAAAATGTGTAGTAAAGGGATGACATTTATACTGTAAGGAAAGTAGAGGGACGACATCAAACATTTCCTTAGTAGAGGGACGGTAACAAACAATTTTACAAAGTACGAGGACTACATTTGGCTTTAACCCTGAGAAAAATGGTCTTCTTCTCCTGCAACTCATAACCTTAGCATATTCGGTTCTATAATTCTTCTTCTCTTGACAACCTTTCTCAAGAAATCAACAGAAAATGCACGAAAATGAAACTCCAACAACAATAAGATGGCAAATAACACTTTCAGCTTCCCCCCTCCTCATCTTCCATCCCAACCCACAAACCCTCTTCCATCTTTGACCCCTTCGCATTAAATCACTCAAATTCCTAACCCTAAATGAAAAGATTTCTTCTTGATGCTTATTGCTATGACTTACCCAGATCCAAATCACTCATGAAAAATTGGTGATTTAAAACATCAATTCAACACAACTCCAAAAAATTAAGAAATAAACGCTAAAGAAAATGAAATTATAAACCTCATTATTCAAAATCCCAAAAATCCCTCCCCTAATTACCTTTGTTTTGTCAATTGGCAAGCTATGAAGGGAAAGTAGATCCGTCAGAAATTGGTGGTCATGGTTGGGTAGAGTTACGACCTTGTTAGGGATGTTTTCATTATGACTTTATGATACAGCCATGGAGATAGGGAGAGTAGTTCTGTCAAAGCTATCCTTTTTAATAGTTGTGGCTTGCTTCGGTTGGGTCTATATGGCAGATGGGCATGCTCAGAACAAGAACACTAGAGAGGGATCAGACAAGGGAGAGGGAAAGGGGAAGTCGGGGAAGATGAAGAACACGCTGAAACAATTAATGATTTAATTTATTAATTAATTGATTTTATCATTTAATTATACATAAATATTTAATCATTAATTACATTTTAAATAACTTAATTTATTAGCTAATTAATTTTACCACATAAACATAAATTTTATCAATATTTTTAAGCTACCTCGCATTTTGTTGTAATATTGAAATGAAAATGATTTTTGTATAATTTTTTTATTTTATATTTTTGTACAATTTAATATGTTATTAAAATAATTAATTTTTTTAATTTATATGAAATTTATGATATTAAATATATCTATTTATTTAATAACATGTAAAAATTATATAATAAATAATATAATAAATTATTTTTATAATACCTTCGAATTGAAATTTAAAAAATATGACATTTTAATGAAAAATTTTGCCACATTAGCACTTAACTAATGGAAGGACTAAATTGTATCAAAAATTAAAGTTTGAAGATATTTTTGGTATTTTTTAAAATTTAAAGATAAATTTAGTTAAAAATAAAAGTTAAAGGACCAAATCAGATACTTAACTTAAATAGTAACCGAAAACCTTTGTTAATAAGTTTTTAGGAAAGAGAAATTTTGGATAAAACATTTCTTGGGCCTTCAACACCGACTTAGCAGTCATGACCAATGATTCTGCGACTTCGGTTTTTTTTTTTTTTTTAATTAACGATTCAACAATTGAATTTGAGGCAAATGAGTTTTTAGTTGAAACACAACAATTAAGTAAAAAATAGGTATTGAATTTAAAAAATTTCTTTTTGTTTCTTTTTTCTCTTGAAATCCACTAGTACTTAACATAACTAAATAAAACTATTTATTTGAGATTTAATTGTTAGTCTGAGTAATGTCATATTTATGAAGCTAAATTCGTATCTTTTTTTAGCAATGATTTAGCAATTGAATTAGTACCCTATCATCGAATTATGATTTCTTTTTTTTCTTTTTTTTTTTTTGAAGTATCGAAGACAAGAATTTATGTTCAAAATTTTAACTTTAATTAATTTTAAATTTTGAATCTTTTGAAATCTTGTTCCATTGGAGCTTGTAGATTAAGAGTTGGTGCCCATGACTATTGGGGAGAAGGGGTGTGGGTATTGTAAGGGCAGGATAGAGCTCGACTCTGTCACAGTGCTAGAAGAAGACAGAGCTCAACGCCCTATCACAAGGTAGGACAAAGCTCAATTCTGTCACAGTGCCAGAACAGAGAACAGAGAACAGAGCTTGATGCCCTGTCACAGTACAAGAGCAGATCTCAGTGCCCCGTCTACAGTACCACAACTACACGAAGATTACGATGAGGACGCTTGTATTCGATCATCAGTCCTCACCTAACCCTCCGTTTGCGAAAGACCTACTTCGGTAGAATACGTCACGCTCATTTATTGGGGTTGCTCCATTAAGACATGTTATGTCCACCAAAGATGCTTGCCCCGTCAGACACATTATGTCACAATAATGATGATTAAGAAAGCCACGTGTACAGAAGACAGAGCTCGACTTTGTCATAGTGCCAGAATAGAGGACAATACTCGACGCCCTGTCACAGGGTAAGACAGAGCTCGACTTTGTCTCAATGCCAAAACAAAGGACAGACACTACAAGAATTCACTGTATCACCGACGAGAAACCATGTCGGAGAAAGAGGGAATCTGGTCGGTGAAACAAACTACCCACTTGCATCACGTCGGTAATGGCTGCCTCGGTAAAGCCCGGCTCGGTAATTAAATCACCGAGGTAGATGAAAATCATGTCGGTAAACGCACTCACAATTACTGACAAAAAACATCTTGCAAATAGGGAGCCGAAACAGTTAACCGGAAAACATCTCTGGTTCCACGTCGGTAAATTACCGACAAGGATAACGTCTGCACATAAGGAGGTGCCTCGAGCCCTGCGCTTATCACCGATGAACATCACGTCTGCCAATGCCGCGGAAATAGTTGGCTGTCTTACTAGATCACCGACAAGAGCCACGTCTGACAGTGAAGATCTTCGCTG